GTCGCCTCTCTATACCCAAACCACGCAAATTTGCTTTCTTTTGTGATTTTGTAGGACTAAATCATAAAAATATCATAATAATAATAATAATATACTATCGTCAAAAATAGTTTATTAAACCTCACTAAAATACAAAGGGCACAATAAATACAAAATCCACTGGTCATATTACATTTATATTTATTAAAAAAAACAACTGTCATAAAATGGTAAGCATACGAAGTTTAATCCTAGTGGGCATTTCCATGTGATTTCGCATTTGTTAAGATCAATATTTTTCTTTGAAGATCTTTGTCTTTTAGGGTTGTTTGGTATCTCTTTCTTGAATGGGCTCCCAGCTTAAATGCGCTTTGCTCGATGTTGAGTTGGAATGCGGTAAACAATGCCTCGAGAATAGCAGCGTATCCATAATACAATAGTTACTACGTCTGAACACCTGCCAGTGCTGAGTTGCAGTAAGATTTGTCTGGGTATAGAGAGGCGACTGCTCAGTCATTCTTTACTGCGTTGCAACAATATGTATGCGTTGCAGCATAGTAAACAATGCCAATACGCGCTCCGGACTAGTTAATGGGTATGTTGGGTACACTTTTTAAACTGCTCATTCGCGGCCATATCTATGAAGTTGGTTGACCTAACCTAATGGCAGATGTCAAAAATCGATCTAACCTATGGCATCGGTCAACAGTGTTGCCAACCTAACCTGAGAATTGATAGATACAAAGTTGCCTAACTTAACCTGATGACAGATGTCAAAAATCGGCCTAACCCACATACTTTGATTTTCTTTACTATACGGTACAAGAGAGATTCCTATGCCACAGTTTATAGCTAAAGAATCAGATCGCTCACTCTGAGTCGGCACTTTTGATCTCAATGTTCCAGTTTATACACTGCGCAACTCGGATAATACAATATATGACGACCGTCTATTATAAAACAGCAGTCTTCTGCGTATCCTGAATTTGTATCCCTGGAGTGGATGTTATTTTGGACCTTTCAACTGGTCCGAGTGAGCTAACTGATTCTTTAGCAATAAACTGTGACTCCAAAAATAATATTCACTGACACTGACAGCAGCAAGCAAAATATTAGGTGCGTTTTAATCATCCACTTCTGCTTCCGGAATTGTCAGTTTAGTCGTTTTAACCTGTCAGGTTGAAAAAAGAAAACCGACAATTCCAAAGCAGAAGCAGATGATTAAAACCCACCTATTAAAAATATTGCTCCAAGATGTAGGCAACACGTAATAAGGGATCAAAATGGCGGAGTTTTCTATCTCCTTTTAAAAGGCACTCAGAAAGCTGCGCAGTGCGACAATTCTCTGTATAGTAAAAGAAAATCAAAGTATGTGTAGCAATCGGATGTGTGATCGATTTTTGACATCTGCCATTAGGTTAGGTTAGCCAACTTCGTAGCTATGGCCGCGCATGCGCAGTTTAAAAAGTGTACCCAGCTACGCCATTGTTAGAAGGGAAAAAGCCTCCGTTCTTTATAAATTGCATTCTATTTCAGGTACAGACAGTACTGAGTCGTTCTTCATAAAATAAAAGGTTACTTTAAATATCGTGGAATTAAGATGACTATTATTTTTCAAAAAGCAACAACCTTCCTGGGATAATTTACCACATACCTAGAATGCTCTTAAAGCAGTTATTCAAATAGCACATTTGTATGCCATGATTTGAAAACGTTGCACTATTAGCTATCGCCTTACAATTATGGTTAGACAATGTTTTTTTCCCATCCTATGGATATCTTGTAAGTATGCCAGAAAACGTCGTAGAATTAATATCGTGCTCTTGTATTAAAGGGCACTGTCGACCGCCATGTACATATACCCAACATAAAATGACATGCTCCTAAATGTGTCTTTGTGAAGAAGAGGAAAAAATGCCAGGAGAATTTAATAAGTAAAATCATTTACTTGGAATGTAATGGATATTTTTTTGTTCTTACATTTTTGAAGATTACCTAATTTTCTTCGTTATTTTAATAAGTGCGCTACTGCTTGCAATTTGATTCGAAAAATGGTTACATACAACAACTTATCACTACTTACATTTTGCAATTAAGCTAAACCTTGTAAAACGGCTGCTAATACATTGAAAACATACTTTTATTTTATTCTATCTACACTCACCGACTTAAAATTCGATCCATTCAAAATAATGGATTTATTTAAAAATGCTCTAACTTTCAAATGCGGAGGCTGATTTATTTGAATTTTTTAGCAACTTTAAGATAAAATACTATAGTTTTAAGATTATTATTCGGACATCTTAAAGTAATTTAGTACTCGCCGCATATACAGGGGAGAAGAGAAAATAATTTTTTCCTCTAATTTTGACACACCCTTTAGGTTAATTCTGCTAGTAGATCTGCACACAATTAACTTTATCAAAAAGACTGATTTGTTTCCAACACTTTGTTTTTCTATTTACCCCGATATCTTAATTTGTTTGTGAAATCTGACTGTTTAAAAAAATGCTACATTTTAGAAACGTTCATAATTTAAATGAAGGTAGAGAATAAACTACAAAATAAGTAGAGTGCTGTGGCCAACGCCTACAGATGCAGCACGAGCAGTTGCTCTGGTACAAGTATTATGCTTCTAGAATATTGGGTGTTACAAGGTGTAGCGTCCAGAGAGCTGTACAACGTTTTAATGAAACTGGTAGTTTTTCGAGACGAAGAGGATCTGGCAGACGACGTTCTACAAATGTTCGAGATGATCGTTTTGTAACATTAAATGTTTTGCGAGAAAGAAATACTACTACTGTCATGGCTCGAAATCGTTTAGAAGAAGTACGTCAAGTAGCTGTTAACGAAATAACGATTCGAAGGCGATTACGAGAACATGGATTACGCTCCAGAAGACCTGCAACTGGTCCGGAGTTACTTAGGAATCACAGAACAGCACGTTTTCGATTTGCCAGGGAGCATCAACATTGGAATGTCGATGACTGGAGTAAGATTTTATTTTCTGACGAGTCAAGGTTTTGTTTACGTTCTCCTGATGGCCGTGAAAAAATATACGAAAGAAGAGGCGAAAGGTTTGACCAAGCAAATTTTTCCACAAGAAGCTCGTACTGATTTAGTCATTGTTGGCGGCGGAGCAATGACAGCTAACCGATATATTCGTGATGTGCTAGATCCACATGTAATTCCATTTTCACCGTTTATAGGAAAGGAATTCATGTTTATGCATGACAACACTCGACCACATATTTGGACGAAACAGAAATTCAAAGGATGATTTGGCCATCACGTAGCCCAGACCTCAATCCAATTAAGCACGTCTGAGACATAATGGGCAGACGAGTTTATAACCGAGTTCCTTCTCCAAGTAATTTAATTTTTTTTAGAGATGCTTTGGTCCAAGAATTGGGATCAGATTGGCCAGATGAAGATTCGACATCTAATAGAGGGTATGCCACCACGCATTGAGGCAGTTATTCGCGCTCATGGGGAAAATACCCGTTATTAATTTGTAATAATTATTAGTTTATTTGTTGTTTGATTTGTTTATAAAATTATGTATTACTCTGCTAAAACTGAATAAAAAATTAAGAATGTTGCATTTTCTTTAAACCATTACATTTTACAAACAAATTAAGATATCGGGGTAAATAAAAGAAAAAAATGTTGGAAACAAATCAGCTTTCTTGATAAAGTTAATTGTATGCAGATCTACTAGCAGAATTAACCTACAGGGTGTGTCAAAAGTAGAGGAAAAAATTGTTTTCTTTTCCCCTCGGTATATCCGGCGAGTACTAAATTACTTTTAGATGGCCGAATAATAATCTTCACCTTGAATGAGTAAAACCAAATTTGGAAGATTTTCACAAACCTTTTATTTTAAAAAATAAAAATTAAAAACACTACACATGACATGCTTCGAAGTACAACTTCGGAAGCGCTTTTTGAAAGTACGGCCTGTTTGACCAACATTATAATAGCTATACAAAAAACAAAAATAATTCTACTTACTTAAATCATATTTTAGCTGAAAATCATTCTTTTACAGACAACTTTGAAATTTTACATATAGAAAATAAGGGCAATAAACTAAACCATTTAGAAACACTTGAAATAAATAGATTTAAAAATGCAGATAACCTACTCAATGATCAATTAGATATTAATAACTCACCCTTATTAAATCTCTTTCCTAGTTTTCTGTGAGATAATCCCGGTAATATTACTATCTTATTGTTATTTGATTGATATCATAATTACCTAAGTACCCTTATTTACTTTAAATAATTAGTTTATTTTGTTATGTTATTGATGTTTTCTTAAGTACTTTGTTTTGTTCAATTATTTCGCATATATATTGGATACCGAATTGTAAATTAGTCACATTTGAAAAAGAAGTTGTACTTCGAAACATGTCATGTGTAGTGTTTTTAATTTTTATTTTTTATTTTTTAAAATAAAAGTTTTGTGAAAATTTACCAAATTTGGTTTTACTCATTCAAGATAAAATGGATTTTCGTCAAGTAAAGTCCGAAACAATAAATAATAATCTTCAAATAAATCAGCCTCCGCATTTGAAAGTTAGAGCATTTTTAAACAAATCATTATTTTGAATGGATCGAATTTGAAGTCGGTGAGTGTATATAGGTAGCTGATTTTTATTGTTTGATAATAAAATAAATTTAAGAACATACCTATTTTTATATATTTTCTCAAATTTTAGTTTAAAATTTATTAAAACAATTATTATTTTTTGTACCCTCTTGTTGGACGCAACTGCACACCATTTTCGGTTGTTAACATAGACTACATTTTCCCTGTGGTTTTCTAAGGAAGATAGAAACCCGCATGTTTATTATTAAAAGTGCCACGGCAGGAGAAAACTGGCCATAGATTACCATTCGTAAATAACCTTATAATAATTATAACTGAAACACGTACGCCGCTGCACCATTTATTTCGTTTTACAGATAAGAAATCTCCCCCTATTAATTAAAGGTGTATTTATGCCACATTTCTCTAAATAGTGATAAGATATTAGATAGCTATAAATACTGCTATAAATAAATGCATCTGATTATTTGCTCTGTAATAGTTTCAATTAATTAAACATGATTAACATCTACATTATATTTGCTATAATTTTTTCGTGTACTTATGTATGTTTGGCGAAACCACCGAACAATATCAACAATGGTAAGTAGATTTTTTATTCATGGGCAGAAAGAAAATCTAAGTCACACATTATTATTAGATTATGGGAAATGTCAACGTAAACAGATTTTCAGAAAATTGGTCTAAGGTGAACAACACACGAGCCGCGCGAATGTCAGTGCGTTGTCTACATAGTCCGTCAGATAGTGACAGGTTTAGGTGCCCCATTTTCGCATACAAGCCTCGAAGAGGGTTGAAAAGTACATCGATTTTAAGTAGAATGAAAAGACATTTACGAGTGGTTGCTGGAGATAACACATGGAAAATTCGATTTTCCCTAAAAAAATAAAAAGTTATTTGTTGCCCATTTTTCCAAACAAGCCGTTTTCACTATATGATTAATTAATAGAACTAGGCTTCAGAAAACCAAAGGCTTTAATTTTGCAAGTGGCTAAAGGGTTGAAATAAGGGCGTAATCTTCTAAGGAAAAATCGAGATTTTGCAAGATTTTCCGGACAAGCCCATCGAATGTATGAAAACTTACATCTTCACTTGTATGAAAAACATATTTTCTTGAATGACCCGTATGTATAAGAGCATTTTGGAATCGGAAAATTTTTCTGATAAGGAAAATCGAATTTTCCATGTGTTATCCCCAAGAGCCAGTCGTAAATTTTCTTTTATTCTACTCAACATTGATGTACTATTTAATCCTTTTCGAGGCTTGTATGCGAAAATGGGGCACTTAAATCGGTTACTATCTGACGGTCTAACATACATATCGCTCACTGGGTGCAATAGTGGCACATCAACAAAATATGAGTTTTTAGAAAATCACCGATTTGTAAAATTGAATTGAAATATTTAAATATTTCACAACAACCCTATTACTTAATGAGAAGTCTTGCATTGATATGTGTTTCAAATTTAGATATCCAATTGTTATATTGCTATTTTTTTCAAAAAAAGTCTCTTTGATTTTTATTTTGGGAAAAACAAATAATTGTGCCGGTATTGACTTTTTTAACACACATACTTTTTCTGCATAAAGTGGAATAACCTGTTGAGAAATTCTTAATAAAACTGCAGTTTATAGTTTTAACATTTTATTACAAAAAAATGGGAATCAAAATATATTTTGGTAGCTGTAAAAGTTTATTTAATTATCTACGAGGTAAGACCCTGAATTTACCAAACTCAAAAAAATAAAAAATTCCACAATTTGCAAATTGAACAAAAACTACAATTCTAAAACGGAATAAATCAACTGACAATTCCACAATTTGCAAATTGAACAAAAACTACAATTTTAAAACGGAAGAAATCAACTGACAATTCCACAATTTGCAAATTGAACAGAAACTACAATTCTAAAACGGAAGAAATCAACTGACAATTCCACAATTCGCAAATTGAACAAAAACTACAATTCTAAAACTAAGAAAACAACTGATAATTCCAGAATTTGCAAATTGAACAAAAACTACAATAATCCTAAAACTAAAAAAACAACTGATATTAAAATTAGTCTTTGGCGCGTTTCAGACTGTTATGAAAGTGACTGTGACATTTTTTAATGGCATTCGTTTTTAACAAATCCATCAGGTCGTCAAATTTTTTCTTTGGAATTGGTATTATATCTTGGTAAGCACGTTCTAGATCAACAGTATCGAAAGAATGGAAGGCCGTTCCTGTCAGCGTATTTCTCTGTCTAATGCTTATGCTTTTGTAGTCAGCTTGAATAAACGAAGTTTTATAGAAAAAAACGTCAGGAGCATCTTTCTCAACTTTAAAAACACAGACATTATTAAATATTACAATATCACTTGAACTGTCCTCATAAAAATTAAAAGAAGTTTGAGTAGTTAACTTTTTTGAATCAAAAAAATCATCATAACTCATCTCTATAACTTTGTATGGAGCTCCCGTCTTCTTTGCGCTTTTGACCAACGTTACGTAATGGTCTGGTGTGCAAATTGGACCCGATCTTAGTGACCTCTTAATGTTCTTCTCTATAACTGCATGAATGTTATCACCTTCATTCTGTGTGTGACCTGTTACCAAGTATTTATGTGTTATTGATTTAATATTGTAATTAGCTACAGCGTAAAAATAGGCTGCTAAAATGAATTTACAAAAATACAATCTCTAAATCATTACCATCATAACTTTCACTCTGTTGTTGTAAATAATTTATTAAGTAGGAGCCAATTTCGTTACCTTGTCCTTCATGCCACATGAAACACGTAACAGAGCCTTGACCCTTTTTAGTAAGGCCACACACAGTAAAATTATAAGTTGAAAGCTTGGATTTGTAGTAAAATGATGAAACGTCGCCCTTTGGTGTTGGCAATGTAGCCTGCAAATCGAAGCAACTGACCCGCTAATTTTCACTGCATTTTTCTTTATCTGCTTCTTTTTCTTTTCTGCCCAGTTTCTTTTCTGTTTCAAATAATCTTCTTCCATTTTCTGTCTCTCATTAATATCCGCATTTTCGTATGCAACTCATTTTTGACACTGATCTTTCTTGGGGATAAAAAATGCCAAGTTAAACTCGTAGTTAAAAATGTCCCTGTATGTGGTTAAACTTGCAACGGGTTTGTCGTCCTGCTCACAAAGGCTTTTATAATCTCTGTATAGATCGGTAATGCTCTTGCCACCTTCAATATACTCTTTTTCGCTATGTGCTCTGGTGTAATGGCTATCAATCTTGGGAATGGATGAAATGTGAGAACGTATATCGTTCATTGCATCCGGTATCTGTTTCTGCCTTCCATGCTTTCCCCTTTTTATCTTCAAAATTTCCTTCTTTTCTCTTAGCTATCACGCTCCGAATACAGTGAGTAGTAATTGCCAAGGTTGAAATAAAGAACACCTTACAAACCCGTATTTTCGTATCGTCCTTATATATAAAAAACAATATTATTGGTTCGTTTGTTTCTGCCACAGTTATCACCTGTTCGAGGTATTTCGTGCATCAGTGTTATAATAAATGAGCGCTGTTTGGTAATATCAGCCAAGTTCCAATATTTATGAAATACGGTTATTCTTTCCTCATCGGAAAATTTAAGTGCACACTTAAGTTTATAATTATCACCACAAGGAGGTTTCATTTGTCTAGGTGCTACAGGTCTACGTTTGTTAAGTGTGACATAGGCCTGTCCGCTATTTCTGAGTTTTTTGTTTTATTTCTCCTCCAGTCCTTAGGCTCCTTCTTCCTTTTTCTGGTTTTCTTCTTTGTTGCATTCGCTTCCTCTTCATCTTGTTGTAACGGCACTTCTTGTTGCAACAGCTCTTCTTGTTGCAAGGGCGCTTCCTGTTGCAACAGCACTTCATTTTCACGGTCTGTTGTTGTGGTTGAATCAGTTTCGTAATTGGGATCCACGATAGAATCGTCTGAGAATGGTTCAGATTCTAAATCGAAATTATCGGATACTTCCTAATTTTTTCTGTCTAGAACCATTTTTTCTTCAGTTTGTGGATGTTCGGAAGTTTCATTATGCGATATTTCACCTTTTTCTAAACATCGCTCCTGTTCTTCGGGTTCTAAATCTTTCCTTAGAGAAGCCAGTTCTTCTGATATTACATCAACTTCTATTTCTGCAAGTGAATCACGACTAACTTCTTTAAACTTTCCTTTTCCTATGTTTGCTTCCACATTGCTTATAATGGTTTCTATAACATCGCGAATCACAGATGACTCAGTTGCGATTTTCCAGCTTGCAGAGTTAGAATCAGACGGGTTTTTTTATCAATTTAATGCCCAACATTCCTAGAATTTTTTGCCTCTTGGATTGGCATTTTGACGTTCCATAATGCCCAACTATATATTCCAGTTTAATTTGGTGAACTAAAACAAATAAGGTTATTCAATAATCGACTCATTTTGCAGGATTTGTGATGCTGAAAACCGATTATTACATTTATATTACTAAATAAAAGCTTCATAGTTCAAAGGGATGGAAAATTGTAGTTCTGCTATCTTTACTATAGTAATGCATTGAATCAAAAACAAATTGAAGCAATAATACAAAAAAATTAAGATAAGCAAACAATATTTAAGAAACAACAGTGACACATTATGGAATGTCACCTAAACCAACAACTCCAGCACTGTGCTTTAAACAAGCAATAATGACACATTTTAAAAATAGCAACTATTTAATGTGCAATACTGGCACAAATTACTTTGATCCGATAATATTGCACTTAATAATAACTTTTCAACACACAATATTGGCATAACTCAAATGTGCCATTATTGTTTTCCTAAAAATATAATATTAAACCTACCTTAGCGTACTATTTTAAATATGCCACTGTTGTGCCTCTACACGTTGTTCGCTGTGCGATGGTCACTGACACACTGAGATATTGTGCCGGTATTGCCGCGTCCCCTTTGAAAAACGCGCGAAATTCAATAGTGACCTAACACCATCTAGCGGTACTAAATAGAAGTACAGCTATGCCATTATTGTTGGTTGGTAAGACACAAAAAGCGTTTAATATTGTGCCATTAACAAAAAATAGCAGATGTGCCAGATGTGCCATTATTGCACCCAGTGAGCGATATATGCCTATATAACATCCGCGCGACAGTCATCAGCCGCGGTTCGCGGCTCGTGCGATGTTCACCTAAAACAATTGATCTAAAATCAAATGGTCTAAACAAATACGATCTAAAATACATTTAGTCTAAATACATTTGATCCAAACCAAATTTGTCTAATTAAATACATTGGTTCTAAAATGTTTTAGAACATTATAAAATACAAAAATAACTCAAAACTGTTGAGTAAGCTATTTTATACCCATTATTGCTAATTCTTCAATGTTATAATGAAACCAAATTAGCCAAATTTGTCAATAAAACTATTATTTTTATATAAAACTATTTGACATAATAAAACATTTCAGGATATGGGATATGGGTTCAAATGAACCTGTAGCATATTTTTTTAAAATGAATCTTTGATTTGTTTTCAACGTTTAGTAATGTATTCCTAAATATTTTCTTAATATATTTAAGTATACTTTATTAG